TTTATAATACGGAGCACACATTTGGCCTTTGCTACATGTATGAGAGGATTGAAAACCTTTCTGGTCTTTTTTGTAAGTAAGTTATACGGGGTGTAGTGTTTAAGCGGGTGCCGAAATGAATTCATAGATACATGACTGTTCGAGCCATTTTTATTGATTTCCTGTCAATTTTTACAGTGGGCTACCGTTTAATGTCTATATGCCCCTTCAGTAGAATCATTTCTGACTTTGTGATCGAAATCTGTAGCTTTTGTTGGGTGTACCAGTTAAGCAAAATTGATGTCACCGATTTGGTGTTTCCCTCGAAGCTTTTCTTTGAGTTTCCTGTTACGACGACGATCAAGTAGTTGGCATAAGCAATTGACTCCATATTTTTCTTATATTTTCAATTGTTTCGCATAAGATAAGATTCGAGAAGTGTGTCCGAGAATGGATCCGTGTGGGTATACCCTGTTGACATTTTTGCTTGCTTTGAGTCCCTTGCTAACGATTTTTGCTGCTCTGAGTCCTAAAGAACACTCCAGAACTTTGTAAACATTTCGCGGGCAATTTCATCTCTTTAAACATTGAAAAATACTTGGCCGCCAGACGTTGTCAAACGTGTCGGCTATGTTAAATAGAAGTCCTATTGTATATTTATATGTTGTGCCTTGGATTATGTGTCTCAGTTGGACTAATGCGTCTACGGTTGATCGTCCGTGTTTAAAACCATATTGTCTGTCTGGAGTGAGTTCATGTCCATGGAAGAGGTTTATCATACTTCTGTATAAAAGTCATTCTCATATATTTCCGTGGATCGCAAGTGGGGATATATGTCTGTATAATCGCAGGTCATCTATTCTTTATCTTCATTTTTGAATGGACTCTAATAGATGCTAGCTTCCATTGTTGCGGGAAGACTCCTTGACATAGACGCAAGTTAAGCACTTCCGTGACTCCGTTCTTTTATTGCAAGCCATGCATTTTTAGTCATTTCAACTTCGGAAAGTTTCGGTCCTGGAGCTCTTTCGTCCTTCATACTCTTACTTACATCTCCAACAGCTTCTTGCGTAAAGGCCGAAGTATATTCACTGACAGGTGGGGTTTCAATGGAGGTGCGAATTACTTCTTTCTGGGGTATTACATTCATTAGGGAATCGTCAGGAATAAGTGCGTCTAGCGGGGCCCGCAATGCTTCCCAGAGTATTGCTGTTTGCTTGCCTTCAAATCTAATACTATTTCAAGCTTTTTCAATTTCCTGCTTTCTTGTTTGAATTTTGTATGTAATCCTCCAGGGGTTGTCATTTCCATCAGTGGTAACAAATGTTTCCCAGCTTTCCTTCCTCGCGGTATGAATTGCTTTCATATAGACATTGTGTGGTTTTTTATATTTTGGTTTTAGGGATTGGTATCTAGAGTCATTGCGAATTTGTTGGTATACATGTCTGCTACGGCGAACTTTGTGTCTGAATCTCGTTACTTCTGGGCTCCTCCATGGGACGGAGTTTGAAGTGTGCGATACTTTAGGTATAGATAAGTCACTTTCATCTATTATTAAACTTTCAAACGCTTTCACGTATTCCTCAGCAGGACAGTGCTAATGTTCCAGATGTGCGTAGTTTGAATCATGTAGTGAGGCTACTATTTCCTTTTTGAATTTATCCCAGTCAGCTCCTTTAGTACTTTACCTGCTAGATGATTCTTATTTTACTCTTTGCTGTTGCTTAGTGATGCTGAATTGAATTGGATTATTATCGCTAACCGTACGGTAAGTAATAATGTCCCAGTTTCTCAATTTATTTCTATGAGAAATGTTGGTCAAAGTTATGTTAATATATGACTTTCCATGCACGCTGTCAAAAGTGGGAACGGTGCTATCTTTATTTTCTGTAAAGAGTTGATACTGGGAGATATACTCCACAAGGGCGATACGTCTGGTATCTGAATAGTCGCAATTCCATAGCACTGACTTCCCATTCGCGTTAATGTATAATAAAATATTCTTTCCCTTCAATGCGGCTACTATCCCACCTTGGTGCCTCAAGCAAGGCTCTATGGTGTCACAAAATTGGAATTATGCGTTTACAATATTAAAGCTGGCAGATGAGGAGCTAATTTCTGTACATATACAGTGTGTGCTACTGAATTGTTCTAATTTTAGAGTACCATTTTCCATGTTCATTACTGCTATGAAGGTTTTTATTTCCTTCCCGGTCGTTTCATTGCAAAATTGTTTACGATCGGAGATCAACATAGTGTCTACCACAAGGCCAATTTTATTGTCTTTTCAGCTATGAAGTTCCTGAATAAAGAGAATATCTATTCTCTTTTCTGCTGTTACATATCTTAGATCGTCCGTTACAGTTCTCGGTACTGGCGAGTTGAGTAGCCCTATTGTTAGTTTTTGGTTCCGTATTCTTGAAATAATTGGTTTATTCGCCACGGTTGACCATTGTGAAATATTCTGCTAGAGCATACTTGTATGCGAGGCGTACCTGCCATCGCGATGAATGATCGTGCGGTTTTCCAGCCTCCTTACATTCTTAACTAGAATTTTTTCCTGCGTTGGGGCAATGTCCCATTTTAGAGCTTCCTTAGTCTCCTCGCCTGATTTTAATTTCGACCGCTCATATGGATAGACAGCGACAAAGTTCCTTGATGGTTCTGGAACATTTGGTGGAGTAATTGTAGACATCTCGATTGCATTCTGAGCATAAGATTCGTCAGCGCCCTAAACCTGCAGTTTTAGGTCAAGAAATTCCTGAATTGCACTGATAATTGTGGTGTCGAGGAGCTTGATCTTGTCCTCTATCTCCATTTTATCAAGAAGTTGTTGTTTGGTTGAGGAGATTTTGTCCCCAAGGCCACTTGTTTCCTTCTGTAGCTCCATGTTTTACTCATGAAGCACAGCGGCCTTTCCATGAGGAAGGATTTGCTGGAAGCACTAATTTCTTCTTCTAGATACTTATAGAGGAAAACGAGTGATAAAGCTAGAGTTATGTGTCTGCTAGTATGTGGCATATCAGTCTTGGATTCATGCACAGGGTCATGTGATGATATGCACCGAAATGCAGCTAGCTTCTTTCTGCTTTCTGATTTTCTCCGCTGAGTTACTGGCAGGAAGTCTGACGCAGAAGCATTATCGAAGGAGTCGTCCTTTGCTTTTGCAAGATAACCTTCGGAATTGAATTCTCCATGCCATCCTTGCCCACCTTTGCTTTCTTGATTACGTCCTGAATGATACCCACGTCATGTTTTGAAAGGTCATTGCGTTTAATTACTATTTGCTCTTCTGGTATTGTATCAGACCCTCCGTCCGATCTTTTGGTTCTTGACATGCTGAGTTATTTGCTTTTAATTATTTTATCCATATCTGGTCTCACGAGTATGGCGGGAAATGAGGTCGATCTGGACTTAGTCTCCATTATCCGGACTATTTACCACTGAGAGGACGCCAGGTTTCCCATGGATGACCGATAGCTGGCTGGTGCATCCACCAGCCACCTCCCAGTGCGTCTGGTGACAGGGCGGTACCCCAAGACTGCGCACTAAGGCCCTGGGGATTAAAGGATTTTTATAAAGGTTATCGTCCTCGCAGTCCATCCGATTAATTCCAGACCCCCGCTCCTGTAAAGCATTACTACAGGATTGCGGTATGAGTGTGACTCGGGCACCTCGGCGTCGTTTAACCCGTTCTGCAGTTGACCAAGGTCAACCGCAACCTCTGCGGGAACTCAAAGAATGTCAATGAAGTAATGACTATGGGAAATATGGAAGAACGGTCACCAACGTGTGGACGACCCATCTAGTATATACGTAGCAGACATGGTGTCTTCTGAGCAAACCATATCTTCGAATCCCTGCCAACCCTCGCCAACCCACACATTCTAGCCAACGCACAGGAAGAGTAAACGCGTTTCCCTCACTGACCGTAATTATCCCACCTAATTAGCCTCGTCATATAGCACCCAGAAAGCGAACGATATAATCGAGACAAAGTGAGCAGACGCAGGCAATCAATGCACGAGCTTAGACCTGCCCATAAAGTATTAACTTCCGATTCTTCTGACAAATGTCCTTTTCCAAATTTTCGTTCAACTCTAAACGCAATCTACGCACGTATTTAATGTGTGTTCAATATTTATGATATGCTAATGAAAATATTCATGTCTTTAACGTGCAGTATTACTCTCATATTAGCAGGCTTGCAACATATTTCTTGGACATAGGAATGTTATGGATGTCTTACGCCCATATCCACCGATAACGTTAACGAACTCAATGGTTGTGGTTCCGGAAGTGTCATAGGAGCGTGGGGACTCTTGTCCACAACGCATAGTACACCTCAGCAGGTACTCCTCACACTGAATGAAAAATTCCTTCCGAATCCAACGTCACGTGGAGGACGATCCTCCTTCTTCAGGCAAATAATTCGCGAACTAAGGTATCGCCTTTTATCAATAACTGCCAAGACCGAAATATCTGACCTTAGGCAGATTCCTGATTTCCTTATAAATCGGTGTAGAGGGAATCGCTGAGCGAATATTTCAAATAGTCTGTTTAAGTATTGTGTCTCCGGAAAATCGTAACAGGCAATATTCACTAATTGTTTGGATCATTTGAATCTGTTGTTCAATCTCTCACGCTTTGCATAAGGTATACGTAATCGTTTTTTAACATTCTTACATTATTTCTCAAGCAACCATGCGTTTTAGCAATTTCACTGATATTTAAGGAACCACTATTAACCAATCCCCGCAAACCAGAGATGTCAAACAAAAGTAGTTCGGCAACAAGTATTTTAAATAGTTGCCTAATAATAATTTGATCGGCAATGTTCAGATATTGCAACGCAGCCTTATAAACCGGTTAAATTCGTCCAGAATTCAATCGAAACGTGACATATTCAAAGTTACGTATGCAAATTGTGTATGTATAACAGATATGAAAATGAATACAGAATATCAACATAATACATATCAAGAGTTGAAAATTAAGAAAGTAATTTAAGTGCTATTTACCAGTCTGCTTCTCGGCAATCTTCAACGTAAATCCTTCCAACAGAGTCGGCTGACTCCTTCCTTTTGCATTAACGGCATACAAAACTATTTTGAGGACCTTGCCAGATTCTAAACCATATACAGTGAAAGCAGCGTTCTCCTTGGATGTAATATTTGCTTGTAATATTCCAGTATGTTGATCAAACACTTCAAGAAGGAAGTGCTGTGGCTGACCACCATCAAAGCCAATACAGCACTCAACTGACAGTGAATCGGTTGTTTGATTGGACAGTGTGCAATTGTATAGAGACTCGGGCTTTCCTAAAAAAAATATAATTAAGACATGAAACAACATTATGGCAATATTAGAGTAGTTACTTTAATGATGTCATGACAATTGTCTTATGTGTGATATAATATAGTGTTTCATATTCATATGAGAAACAGCTGTTTGCATATTGTCACAAATAGTAATGCAAAATCGCACAGAAATATGTCATGCACCTGCTTGTATTCAGCAAGGCATTATGTATTTCTTTCATTCTACGCAAGTTAAAAGCTTATACACAGATAAGGAATATCAGAATTCATTTTCATATGACGAAAAAGTTAATGACCTGTATCATGTACATTACACGAACTTGTGCATTTATACGAATAGGAATAACGTCCCTTCCTCATTTCTAATATGACCTAATTATGAAACATCCCACATGTAATTTCTAAAAAAACAGTTAGAAATTAAGGAAGGTTACAAACCATTAATCGTGGGAATTAACATCAATTAACGTTGTGTGCTTCTCCACTCTTTAAATAGAATACACCTCGAGTTCTAACACTCGTAGAGGACAGCGAATAAAAACACGTTACGTTAAATATGTAAATTATTGTTAAAATAGTGAATGGATACTGTTTTGAATTTAGTCATCTATCATTTAGGATTTAATATGTAAGTTGTTCTAGCATGGAATAAACAGCCGATCTTGAATGTCCGTCACGGACTTCTAACAGCTGGGACCTAAATGCTGAATAGTAAGAGGTACAGTGTTATGTATTTTTATGCGGTTGTTGTATATTGTTGGCGCTCTTCTTTATTAACTCGGTTCACCGAACGCGAGAAGTTCTTCGGGACCTAATTTTTGGGAATTGCGCGCCTGCACGGAATATATGTGTTTGTTCGGAATGACTCCAACTTTCGCAGTCGAAAACCAAAAGTGGCGCAGCAACAGTTACCTCACGAGGAGGGTCATCAGCGTGCAGGTATCTGCCCAACCACCTCTCCTTGAAAGAGAGGCTTCCTGCATCATCAACTTTGACGTGGAGAACGTGCCTTCTTCTTTAGAGGTGACTGATCCGCGGACCAGGCGGCTACCAATTGCGAGAACGCTCGTCTTTTGGCAGTGCATATGGCCCGTTGTTTCGGAATATGGATGCAGTCTGGGAGTTGACTGGGTGTAGTTAGACTAAGGTCAGTATGGACGTAACCTTGAGAACTCAGATGTGAGCAATTGTGCTCGCAATAGTAGCGTAATACTGTGTTCAACACTAACAGGAGTGAACGTATCGCTTATACATCTTTAAGCTCTACCTTGTCTTCCTCAACACTTTCGTAGCACCTGACAACGCAGCGTCGCGTCAAAGCTGTTAGCATTACGAGCGCGTAATCCTTAGCATTCGAGGTCAAGTATTTTCAGGAAGAAAAGAAAAACCGTCCATCGCAATAGCGTTTGCAACTCCTCGCGAAGAGGTCTAAGGGGAACGATAGCACTTATCTTAAAATTGTTGAACTTTTGTTGGCTGTGAATATAGTTGCCCGAAGTAGCGAAAAAGTTTAAGAATTTTTACACTATTCCTGC